CCAGCTACTCGGGAGGCTGAGGCAGAAGGATTGCTTGAGCCCAGGAGTGTGAGGTTGCTGTGAGCTAGGCTGACGCCATGGCACTCACTCTAGTCCAGGTAAAAGAGTGAGACTCTGTCTCAAAAAAAAAAAAAAAAAAAACTGAGTAGTTGACAATACCAGTTGGCGGGGGGGGGGACTTTATTTAGGAGATACCAGATGATTGGAAAGAATTAGGGAATGACTAGGAAAGAAAATGGAGTGATTAAATATCTATTTTGCTTTCCTTTGAGAAGCTTAACTACAAAAAGAAGAAAAAGAGGACTGTGGCTGAAAACCATAGGCTAGAAAAGGTTTTATTTTAGTTCTGCCACTAATCCCTGCCTTATGTGATCTCGAATAGAGCCATCAACTTACCTTGTAAATATAACTGGCGTAAATAATGTGATGTACCCATTTTACAAGACAAGTTCAGGAGCCTGCTTCCCCACCAGACTGTAAACTCGAGGGCAGTGGCCATACATACCCTATTTATGTTAATATTCCCAAAGCTTCCGAGAGTCAACACAACAATCATGTGAAAGATGTTTGCTGAATGATGTGTAAACTATGAGCATTAACAAGCGCGGACACGACTGAAGCCTGACTGTTAGCCCCGCACTGGGCCGTGCGCCTTCTAGCGCATTCCCTCCAGTATTCTTCACCACTCCGAGATAGGTACCACGATTGTCCCCATCTCACAGAAGAGGAAACGGAGTGGATGAGGAATAGTAAGGGGCCCAAAGTCTTCAACCAGTGAGTCTTGGAGATGGGATGACGTTTTCACTCAAAAGCCACGGAGGGACAATTCACGCAGATGAACAGGAAAAGGACCCAAGGCCAATAACTCATCTCCAAGTAAAAGACTTCCGGAAAAACAAAGGAACCTGTCCTTCCGCGCTTGCGCTCCTTCCTCTTGGCCCTGCAGGCCGCGTTCCAACCTCTAGTTTGGAGTCGCAGTGCGCCTACGCTAAGCCTGACTTCCGCCAGGGCTCTTCGGGTTCAAGGCTACTTCTCCCAGCCTTTGGATGGCATGGGCTGTGGCCAGATGCGGGGAATGCCGGTGACTGGGTAGTGCGCGTGCTGATGACGAAAGCGGAAGTGCACAGGCCAGAGGCGGGATCAGAGCCCAGAGGGGCTCGGGATTGCGGAAGTTTTGTGAGGAGGGTCGGGCGTAGAGCGGTGTTGTTTTAGGATAAGTTCCGGAAGGGAGGCCGCCTGTTGGGGTCTGAGAGCCACCAGCCTCTCCAGTTTGGGGACTGTTACACCCGGCGCGATTCGACGTCGCTGCTGTTGGTTGTCCTCGGCCCTCGTTCTCCCCTAGGGAACCGCCTCGGATCTCCGCCATGGCATCCACTTCGACTAACCTCCAGGTATCACTACTCATTTCCTGTCCCCCTGGAGAGCTGGGGCCGGGGGAGGCGCGAGAAGTAGGGTGCGGGATGGGAAGAGGGGAGGAAGTGGCCGCGCTTCTGGTAGGGGCGTAGGAGGGCGGGTCCGGGGCGAAGCCGCAGGTGGGAGAGTGGGCGCTTTCGAGCGGAAAGATGGTTTCCGGCTCGCCCTGGGTGTCTCCCGAGCCACTGGCTTTGTGAGACTCTTGACTTGTTGGGGCTTTTTTTTTTCTTTCCCCCCAAACCAGCCGATTTTGAGCCAAACTGGGCAGATCTCTGCACTCAGTGTAAGAGAGAAAGGAAAGAATGTAATTTTTGCAAAGCACTGCCCTGGATCAGTTGAAAATAGGGTGGTCATAGTTTGTCTTAGTTTCTCAAGCTGATGAGCAAAGCTTTTCCTACCGAGCTGTCAGGTAAGTAGAAGTAAGAAAACAGCCCTGCAATGTGAGGTTAGAAGCAGCCTGCATACAGTCTCCGTGAATCCATTCAACATATGTGTTTATGTGCACTCTCCTGTGTCTCCCAAATTGCAGTATGTAAGATCGTGGAGTATTCTTAAACTATTTTGTGGCTCCACTTCCCCACCCCCACCGCAGTGAGCACATTGTTTTGTACATAAGTCATGGAATCCTAAGATTTTAGACTTAATCGATACTGCTGAATGGAATTCATTGAGAAAAGAAATTTATGTGACAGTGTCTCCCATCCCCAGAATGGATCAAGGGTGTTGGGGGAGTTTAGAATGTATTGAGACTTACTCCCATCAGACTATCTGATACAAAAGAGTACCATGAAATACCTGTATTGAATCCTTGTCTTGGCCTTCGGGTAGTTTGTTGAACAGGCATTTATTCAGGGCCTGGTACAGGCACTGAAGATAATGGAAGAACTCCTTAACTCAAGATAATTGATCCTGAAGAAAGACCACTCAAAGTAGAGTGGTCATTTAAACAGACATCAAAAATTCACAAAAAGAATGCGAGGAGAGGCTTACTTGGGACTTTTATCTTGAAAATTGACCCAAAAGATTACGAAGATAAATGTTTTATATCTTTCACAAACATTATAAATACAACAACTTATTTTGTAGAATAAAGAACAAGTCGTGTTGATTTGTCTGCGTATCTTTTCCACCAAAATTGTATTAAACTAAGATACAATGATCTTAAGTTTTTTTGTAGTCGCATTTGTAAAGGGTCTTTTTGGTAAGTATATTTGAAAAAATTATTGGCCATTTGATCAAAGTATTGTTCCTTTGAGTATTAAACGTGACTTCTTTTGAAGGCCCATCTTGTCCTCATCCTTGTTGGTTTGTTAACTAGTTTTATTCTATCAGCTTTTCATTTGTCAGAGACTTTGCCTGTGACTTGGGCATTCTAAAACATAATCTTCAGCCATTTACTGTTACCTTTCTTCTACAAGATTTGCAGTTTTGTTCTATAACCAGAATGCATCATATTTGAATTGAATTGTTGGGTGTTCTTCAGTGAGCCAGCTAGAGATTGACCAATATTAAAGGAATAGTTGCTAGTGTTAAACAGGAAGGAGCTCGAGTTACAATTTTGTTAGCCATGGGTTCACAGGTATACTTTCTTATTCAACCTTTTCAACCTTCTAACTTAGGAAATTTGGATGAAGAACATTCACATAAGGAATAACTTTTCCACTGAACAAGGCAAAAATTCCTGTAGCCAGGTGCTTATAATCTAATGAGGGAATGCATTATATAACTAAAAATCAAAATTACAAATAATTCAATAAATGCTATACAGTAGTTCCCTCATCCGCAGTTTTGCTGCAGTCCAAAAAGATTAAATGGAAAATTCTAGAAATAAACATCTTATAATTTTTAAATGCTATATTACAATACATATGTCGTTCATCTCACTTCATCTCATCATGTAGGCATTTTATTATCTCACATCACAAGAGAGATGAGTATAATACAATGAAGATATTTTGAGAGAGAAACCACATTCGCATAACTTTTATTACAGTATATTATTATAATTCTATTTTATTAATCCCAGTGCTTTGGAAAGCCGAGGCTGGAGGGTTGCTTGAGGACAGAAGTTCAAGACCAGCCTAGGCAACATAGTGAGACCCCACCTCTACAAAAAATAAGAAAAATTATCTGGGAATAGTGGTATCTGTAGTCCTTGCTATTTGAGAAGCTGAAGTGGGAGGATAGCTTGAGCCCAGGAGTTTCAGCAAGACCATGTCTTTAAAAAAAAAGAAAGAAACCAAAATGAAGTTGGGATGTTCTTTGGGATTTTGTTGTGAAGGCAGAGAGATAAGTAAGATGATAGAGAGGAACCTAGGAACTGGGGACAGTTGGTGTATTTCATATGAATTTGAGATGGGACTTAAACACATTTTTCTGCTGTAGAGTCCCCCAATTGGCATATCATTGATGGAGGGAATGTCAGAGTAGGAAGGTGGGGATAGGCTCTAGAGCATAGGAGAAAGAATTCATCTTGACAGACAGGGGCTGGGATGTCTTTTCTCTTGAGGTAGGTGATTGTAGAATTTACCTCATTTCCCAGCGTTTTCTAAGGTGCACATGTCAGGGTCTCCTAATCTGAAAAGGACAGTCCCACGTGTTCCCAACCTTTATATCCATAATGATGACCAGATCCTGACCTGGGGTAATAAAGTCATTCCGTCTTGTACCAGCCACTGTGCTAGACTCTGGGAATACAAAAAAGTGAAGACAGCAGACATAACCCTGGTCTTCATGGCGCTCACATTCTAGTGGAAGAGAGAGGCAAACCAAAAAGCAAATAAAACAAAACCCACGTGTGCATCAGTGCATTCTAGTGGGGAGAGAAGCAAAAGACAAACCCCCCTTACACACGTGTGCACACACACAGAAGAAGGATTTTAAACACAGAAGTGATGTAGACAGCTGTGTTTTAAAATTGAATTTGGGGCTGGATGTGGTGGTTCACGCCTATAATCCTAGCACTCTGGGAGGCCAAGGCAGAATGATCCCTTGAGGTCAGGAGTTCAAGACCAGCGTAAGCAAGAGCGAGACCCTGTCTCTCCTTAAAAATAGAAATAATTAGCAGGGAACTACTAAAAATAGAAAAAATTAGCTGGATGTGGTGGTACTCGCCTGTAGTCCCAGCTACTCGGGAGGCTGAGGCAAGAAGATTGCTTGAACCCAAGAGTTTGAGGTTGCTGTGAGCTAGGCTGATGCCACGGCACTCACCTGGGCAACAGAGTGAGTCTCTGTCTCAAAAAAAAAAAAAATTGAATTTGGGAGTCATCAGCCGGAAGATCATCAGCCTTAAATCATTCAAAGCATCACATAGGGAGAAAGTAAACAAAGAGAAGTGAGTCCTAGCTCAAACCTGACGAATGTATTTCATTGTCACATGCAAGAAGAAGAATCAGCAAAGGAGACTGAGAAGGAGCTGCCAGAGAGGTGGAAGGGAAACCAGCAATGTGGTTCTTGGAGGCTCACCAGAGGACTGTTCGAGAAGGAAATGAACAACTTTGTAGAATATCATCAAAAGGTCAAGATGAAGACAGCTGTTCTTTCGATATGGCATCAGCAGGAGCCTTCATATTAGCAGCTTTATTGATGTGATAAGGGAAAGCGAATAGAGGCCACTCCAGTGAGATTTGGGCTCTAAAAGGTAGCAGAGAAACAGAACTAAACCTGAAGGGTGTTTGGATGTCAAAGAAGACTTTTTTTTTTAAAGGAGGACTATTTGTATGCTCATGGAAGTATCCAGTGGAGAGAAATTGTTGTTAAGAGATGACAGAGGTGAAATAACCAAAGGGAGGAAGATTTTCAAAAAGCAATAGGGGATTTTTTTTCGTTCAACAATTTCACTGAGTACACAAAGAATGCCAGCAGCATTCTAGGCTCGGGCAGCTCCAGATGAAGCCCTGTATTTATGGAGCCTACCTGCGTAAAGGAGATAGCCAGTAACCAAGTACACAGGTAAACATAATGACAATGATGGACTAAGAGCAGAGGTGAGGGGAGAGCTGAAAGCAGGGTTGGAGTGCAGCCTTTGATGTAGCTGATTAGGGAGGGCCTCTCAGAGGACTTGCCATCTGAACTAGGACAAAAAGACCGTCATCTGTCAATCAGGAAGAACAAAGAGCATTGTAGGTGGAGGGGTCAACCGCTCAGGTTGCCTCGGCGAGGAAGGTCTAGAGGGTTTCAGGTGCAATCCAGACAGAGCTAGGCCCAGATCATTTCAGGCCTTGTTGGTCATGGTCCAGCATTTGCATTTCATTGTTTACAACGGGAAGCCGTCAAAAGTTGCTATATCTACTTGGTGGCAAGGATGGAAGCAGGCTGACCACTCACAAGCTCGGTAATAGTTTTGACATACGTGATGGTGGATTCAACTAGGGTGTTAGCAGTAGAGGTGGTAAGGATTGTGTTCTGAAAGAGGAGCACCCCGAAACCGTACAAGCCATGGTTAATTTCATTTCAAATGAAAAATGCCAACATAAATCAGGGTGAAATGGGCCATTCATCAGAGGGAAGATAGATACATATCATGATAAGTCACCATCTTTGATTAAAGGTTTAATGTGGCTATTGAAATTTAAATTTTAATTAAATAAACTCACTGCTCAGTCATACTAGCCACATTTCAGGTGCTCAAAAGCTATATATGGCTGGGGACTGGGCAGTGCAGATGCAGACATTTTCATCATGAGAGAAAGGCTGGTTTAAACTGGTGCCATGTTTGGACTTAGATGCTTAAATAATACCAACTACAGCAGCGGTCCCCGACCTTTTTGGCACCAGGGACCAGTTTCCTGGAAGACAGTTTTTCCACAGCGTGAGGGGGTAGCCCTCAGGCGGTAATGCTAGCAACGCGGAGTGGCTGTAAATACTTCCTGCTCCTGCGCCTCCACGCAGGGGTGGGGGCTGCGCAGCGGAGTTCTGCAGCCTGGTCCTTAACCTCGGGACCAGTCTGGAGCCCGGAAGTTGGGGACCACAGAACTACAGTATAAGAGTTTTCCTTTAACAAATATCAGTGTGGTGCCGCAGTAAGGGCTGACTGTGAGTGATGGGAATGAGTGGCACAGCACTTCAAAATAATCTGAGAAGAAAATTAAGTCAGAATAAGAAAGAATTTGTTTCTGCTGTGTGGCTTAACTGCTGAGCCTTTGGGTTGCATTTTTATATGACCAGTCTCACTTAACTACCAGTTGACTACATGCTATGACTCTACTTTTTATTTATATCCTGCCTAACTTACGCTTAAGAAAATTTAGCTTTGGGTTCAGGCTATTTGAACTGTGAAACATGTAACTGCTACATTTTGTCAATTCTAAAACACCTAATTTTTCTTCCCTCCTTCTACAACAGAGGAAGTAAGTATGTTTCTCCAATGGGAGACCTGTTCCTACCATTTACAGATTTCCCATCTGTATTCTTATGAATGATTGGTTTTTGGATTCTTTGAATGATTTTTTAAATTATATGCTTATTTTTAATATAGCCTAGCCATGATTGTTTTCTTTTTTTTTTACTGGCTCTTACTTCTAGTTGAGTAGAGCTTTACTAACTAAATTAACCCAGTTGGAATGTTTTATAATAAATCATGCTTGTTCTTTATTTGGATGTATCTATATATTTTTAATTAAATATAGTTTTTAATGAAAATTTTATTTTTAGATAACTGGAGATTGACATGCAGTTGTAAGAAATAATACAGAGAGATTTACTGTACCCTTTTCCCAATTTCCTCCAATGATAACATCTTATAAAACAAGCAAAATATCAGTCAGGGTATTGACATTGGTACATTCCACTACTCTTACTCATTTTCCCAGTTTTACTTGTACTTGTGTGTATTTGTATGTGTGTGCCCGTGTAGTTTTTCACATGTGTAAGTTCTTATTGCATTTTGAGAGTTATATATTCTAGATACTAGTCCTTTGTTGGATATGTGTTTTGCAAATATTTCTTCCAGTCTGTGGTTTGTCTTTTCGTCCTTTAAACAGGATCTTTTATTTATTTATTTATTTTTTTTTTGGAGACAGAGTCTCACTCTGTTGCCGAGGCTGGAGTGCAGTGGTGTCAGCCCAGCTCACAGCAGCCTCAAATTCCTGGGCTCAAGCGATCCTCCTGCCTCAGCCTCTGGGACTACAGACATGCACCACCATGCCCGACTAATTTTTTTTCTATATATTTTTAGTTGTCCTGGTAATTTCTTTCTATTTTTAGTAGAGACGGGGTCTTGCTCTTGCTCAGGCTGGTCTCGAACTCCTGAGCGCAAACGATCCGCCCGCCTCCGCCTCCCAGAGTGCTAGGATTACAGGCGTGAGCCACCGTGCCCGGTCAGGATCTTTTAGATAGTAAAAGTTTTTAAGTTTGATAAGGTCCACCTTATCATTTTTCATTTTATATATTGTGCTTCTGATATCAAATTTAAGAACTCTTTACCCAGCCCTTAGACCCTGATGTTTTCCATGTTTTTCCTGAAAGTTTTATGGTTTTACATTTTATGTTTAAGTCTGTGATCCATTTTGAGTTAATTTTTTTTCAGACAAAATGTAACTTTTTATGCTTCAACTTTTGCAGAAAGTGTTAGGGTTGAGATTCTTTTTTTGCAGAAAGTGTTAGGGTTGAGTTTCTTTTTCGTGTGCTTATGGATGTCCTATTGCTCCAGCATCATTTCTTAAAAAGCCTATCTTTTTGCTATTGACTTGCTTTTTGCATCATTTTCAAAAATCTCTTGGATATACTTCTGTGAGTCTATTTCTAGGAGGTTTTTTCCTTAATACTACAAAAGTAGTCCATGTTCATATGGACATTTTTAGAAGGTGTGAAAAAGTAGAAAATGAAAAATCAATGAGATCTTATCAAAAATAAGCCCTGTTAAATTTCCTTTCCATCTTTTCCCTTTTTTTCCCCACTGTTGTTTCAAATAGTTGAACTTACACTACATATAAAAGGTTGTATCTTGTTTTTTTAAAAGGCCCATCATAAACACTTTCCATGTTATTATAAATATTTCTTAATACTATTTTAGTGATCCTTTAATACTCTATTGTGTAGCATCCTTTTGTTCTTTACGATTTACGTTTCCAGGTTTTGTTTTTGTTAAAAGATCTTTCTGGTTAAAGTCTTTGCTCAGTAAACCTTTTAAAACTTATTACTGGGTTAAAAGATTCAGGTGTTTTTTAGATTCTTGATATTTCATTGTCACATTGCTTTTGACATTTCCATTTTCATTGTTGTTATATGCCTTAAATATAGCAGCATTTAATTTTTGAGAATTTCCGTAAATGATTATTTAATTTGAATTTTCAGTTATTTGATTATTCCTTACTAGCCCTAAGTTTGACTTTAGCTGAATGAAAATTGTGTGTGAATCTTAGTGATTGGTACTAGAGAAAGTAGTATTCAGATAGCATTTATTCATATAACAAGTGTAATTTGCATTTTATAAATTTGTAATTTATAATAAAATACAGTTGTCATTTAGAAAAAAAATGGATTTGTTTTTAGGTTGCTTTTATTTTTTTAAGAAAACTTTCAGTTTGATTATTTACTTCAAACTTAGGTTTATGCTTTGATTTTAATATTATTGTTTTGCCTCCCTCAAACAGAAAGCAATAGATCTTGCTAGCAAAGCAGCCCAAGAAGACAAAGCTGGGAACTATGAAGAAGCCCTTCTACTCTATCAAAATGCTGTGCAGTATTTTCTCCATGTAGTTAAATGTAAGGTCATTGGTTATTTATTTTAAAACACTGAAAGAAGAAATGACTTTATTTCATTTATAAAAATTGAAATAAAATGCCAGAAAATTCTAAACCTTCCATTTGCAAAAAATTTCCACTTTTTTTGTAGTAACTTTTAATTTTAAGTACCCAGACTTAGCTCACAACTGTGAGAGCTGTCATAGTTACTACTTTGTATACCTAAACATCTCAATGGAAATAATTTTTTATTTTACTGATGATGTACCCAAATTATATAATCTAGATTTACTCATTTGTCTAAGCCTATGTTTGAAAATATTCTGTTTAAAAAACAGGTTTGGAAACATTTTACTCATGTATTTTACAAGTATGTATTGCATGTTTACCATGTGCCAGGCACTGTTCCAAGCACGGAAGATGTAAGAGTGAGCAAAAATGGATAGAGACCCCAGCCCTCATGGATCTTAAACCTAATGCAGTTGGATAATTTAAGATTTTCTTTAGAGCTTCCTCATTTAATTTGATATTTTATATCAAATTAAAGTGAAACTAGGAATGAATCATAACATGTAAGATACAGGGGGCTGATCCCATGCATTGCATATTTTGCCAAAGTTGACTTTTGAAAATAGCCCTGACAGAGGCCTTTATGTAGTAAAATTGCTATGTTGGTGTTACACGTAATTTATGGGATTTCCATCACTCTTCATACTCTCTGAAATAAACTTTATGTAGAGACATTAATGGAAATGGTTAATATTGCTTTACTTCTATTTTTCTTATTATTGGGTTTGTGTAAGGCAAACAGCTTTCAACTATCTGCACAATGTATGGGAAGAATATGAAATCTACAGAGCATTAAATAATTTCTTATGCTTTAACATTACCTTAAAATAACCTACTGTCTTTCTTAGATTTTTCTGTGACTCAGACCCACTGTTGCTCTCCAACCCTGCTTGGAGAAAACGTAGGAAAGAGTTGGTAATCGTTGGTTATCAATGATGAATTAGAGGTGATCTTCCCTCCCTCTCCCAGCATAGAATTTCCTTGTCTGAAAAATTTATTTAAGAATCTAAACCTTTCTATATGGAATTCTCATGGAAAAAATCTTTCTCATTTCCCTTCAATAGATGAAACACAGGGTGATAGAGCCAAGCAAAGTATCAGGGCAAAGTGTAATGAATATCTTGACAGAGCAGAAAAACTAAAGGAGTACCTGAAAAAGAAAGAGAAACCACAGAAGCCTGTGAAGGAGGGACAGCCAAGTCCAGCAGATGAGAAAGGGTATGTGTTTAAAAGCATTAGATTTTATTGTACCTTTTAACTTTTAATTTGTGGAGTAAATTTCTTTCGATTAAACCAGGTGTTGGCAAACCATGGCTCATGGGCTGAACCTGTCCTGCTGCCTGTTTTTACAAATAAGTTTTACCGGAACACAGCCTTGCCCATTCATTTTCCTATTGTCTGTGGCTGCTTTCATGCAATAACAACAAAGTTGAGCGGTTGCAATAGAGACTGTATGGCCCACAAAACCTAAAATATTTGCTTTTCTTCTGGCCTTTTATGGAAAAAAGTTTGCCAGCCCCTAGTTTACTAAGCTTAGGGCATGATATACCTTTAAATAACCCTCCATGACTGCTTGCTAATAGTAGGGGAAAACATTTGAAGGAATGGCACTCAGTTGCCTTCTGGCCATTAGGTAATACTAAAGTTTAAAATTATTATAGCAATAATCTGTGAATTAAATCTTTGACTGTGTGGACAAAAAGAAAATTCCAATAATATAAATAATTTTTTTGGTATCTTATACAAAGTTTTTAGATGTGGATTTGCTTTAGATTTGCTTTCTGTTGTTACTGTAAAGAAAAACAGCACAGCATAATTTATAAACATTGAAACCCAATTTTGGAATGTCTTTCGGAGATATATCACTTCTAGACACAGAATTTATTTATTCAACATGTAATATATGCATGGTAAGTTCTGTCATAAGCAACAGGAACATATTCTAACCAGATCCTCGCTGACTATTCTATTAATTGGTGCCAGAGGTAGTTCCAGGTGACACATTCTTAAGCAAATGAGAGTCTAGAATGGAGTTCCTGGCCTGGTTGGGCCAGGAATAGTCTGTCTTTTGCACCTGTAGCATTGACATAACAAAAATCAGTTGACAGCCTGATCTTACAGATTATTGAATTTCAACCTCTGCGCAAGTAAAGACATTTAGTGTAAGATAGGGACTCCAAACATAAAATGAAAATATTGGGAAGAATTCACTTGATTTTGGGCGCCTGGGATCTCCAACTGTCGCTGAGACTCCCTTGCCAGCAGAAGGTTCTCTCTTCCCCTGTCTGTTGAAGCTCTTCTAGTCTTGCTTAAAGACCCTGTAATGATCTCTCCTGAGGTGGTTACCTGACTAGGGGTTGCCAATTCTTCTCCCATACTAAAGAGCAATCTTGGGCCGGGCGCGGTGGCTCACGCCTGTAATCCTAGCACTTTGGGAGGCTGAGGCGGGCGGATTGTTTGAGCTCAGGAGTTCGAGACCAGCCTTAGCAAGAGCGAGATCCCCGTCTCTACTAAAAATAGAAAGAAATTAATCGGACAACAAAAATATATAGAAAAAATTAGCCGGGCATGGTGGCGCATGCTTGTAGTTCCAGCTACTCAGAAGGCTGAGGCAATAGAATCGCTTGAGCCCAGGAGTTTGAGGTTGCTGTGAGCTAGGCTGATGCCACGGCCCTCTAGCCCAGGAGTTTGAGGTTGCTGTGAGCTAGGCTGATGCCACGGCCCTCTAGCCCAGGCAACAGAGTGAGACTCTGTCTCAAAAAAAAAAAAAAAAAAAAGCAATCTTAGTTACAAACAGTAAGATTTACCTTGGCTAATTTAAGCAAAAAGGGATTTATCATGCAGTATTACCTTACAGAATTTTGGGGCAAGAGAGTCAAGCTTGGATTCCATATCACTAGGAGAGGTGCGCAGCTATGTCCACGTTGTTCAAGTAGGGATCCCCTTGTTGCCACCCGCCCTGCTCAGCATCACAGTGCGTGGGAGCAGGCAGTAGAACCTCTGCGCAGCTCCCTTAGCAAAACTGGTGCTTTCCCGTGAAGGTCTGGTCTCCTTGCGAGCAGCTCCCACCTTCTTGAAGAAACTTAGATCTCATGTGGAACCCTAACTGCAAGGGGGCCCCAAAAGGGCGATTTTTTATAAGTACAGCCTTTACAGTACAGGACAGCGTGATAGAAGAGGTTGGAATGAGTGTCCAGTGAATCAGTTTCTTGGTATCTCCCTCACCCATAGCCCTATCATCCTACAAGGTGGTCCCGTTTTGGTATAAAACCTGTCAAGCTTTTAATCCCCCTTTATATCTTACGGTTTTAAAAATTATTTAATGCCATATTTTTTGCTTTATCACTTTTTTACTCAACATTGTATCAGGAACACCTTTCCAATAAACTATTTCTACAACATCATTTTTAAAGGTTGCAAAGTTTTTTATCATATGCCAACCCTTATAACTGAACATAAATTATTTCTATTTTTCCCTGTTGGCAAACTATGGGTGTGATCATCCTTACAGTTAAATCCTTGAACTCATTTTAAATTATTTCCTCAGGATAAATTCCTAGATATGAAATGCCAAGGGTGACCTACTTGTTCTTTGGGTTCAGTTCATTGTCATCAGGAAGCTTAATCAATCCTTTGGAACCCAAACTAATGGTTATAGACCCTTATACCTTAGATAATTCATATTCTGTATTTTTTTCCTCCTCGTGTGACTTCTCATTCTAATTTATATTTTGTCCAGTCCTGGTGTTTTTATTGTTGTTTGCAACTCTCCTGTAATTCATCTTACATCCTTCATGGAATGATATGTGGGGCATGCAATTATGAATTAATACATATATATATAGGTATGTCATGGGAATTTGGAGCTAGTTCCTGACTTTATTTTGGTCTTTTTGTCCTTCTCTTGTTCATGATTCTCTATTAATTGATAATGTGCCTGTTTCCTATTTTATTTAATATATACTTAAAAATAATAACATAAGCATAACTTTTAATGGGAATGTCTTCTTTTGCCACTTAAATTATAATATTTCAGGTTAATTTTTCCTTCATTTTTGCCTTATTTGATAGTAATGATCATTTGAATATATTAAATTCTTTTTATTAGGAATGACAGTGATGGGGAAGGAGAATCTGATGATCCTGAAAAAAAGAAACTACAGAATCAACTTCAAGGTTGCTTTAGATTTCATTTTTAAACTTACTGTCTTATTTAAAAGACTCATAGTGAATTGTCTCTTTGAATTGTTTATCCCCCTTCCCCTTTGTACTTAAGTGAGGTTCAAGAACTGGCTTTGGTTCCCAGTGGTCATGTGCTGGATTTCTTTATAGCATTTTCATAGGGTTAGCCCTCTACAGTGTCTAATGGCTTGGTTTTCTCATGTAATAAAAATATTGTTCGGTTTTATATCTGCCTTTAAAAGGCTGTAAGTCAGCGTATTCTCTTTCATTTTGTTTATTTGCCCTCTTTTAGAGAAGGTAGCATTTATACCGTTGGCACACTACAAAATCTGGTGGTGTTAAAATTCATTGCTGTCAGAGGAGCAGAACTAATTAGGAATTACACTTGGCTTTTGTGGCCATCGCTGTAGCTCATTCATTGATGTTTTATTTCATGTTTCCTACCTACTGTTCCTCATTTGCTTCTTAGTGTTCCCATTTACATTGATCTCTTTAAGCTTTCTGTTTTTACCTTCCACACCGGTAAGCGCCCTTTCATTCTACTGTGTTACAGTGTAGCGGTGTAATGGGGAGGGTAGAGATTTGGGCTCAATTCAGATCTCTGTTCCACTCAAGGATCTGCCACTTAGAAACCTCTAATCGTGGACAAGTTACTGAACCTCTTGGAGTCTGAGTCCTCATCTGTAAAATGGAATTTAATCATACTTCTCTTTCGGGGCTGTAAGATTAATGACAATGTACAAACTGCCTAATGTATCTGACAAATTCTAGGGACTCAATAAATGGTAGCTCTGTATATCTAAAAAGGCATCTATTTAATTGCTGGTTTCTTTAATTGCTGAGATTTGATTGCTCTTAGATATAGCTATTAAATGATTTTTTCAGATTGCATTTACATTCACCCATTAGTATGTTTTTTGTTCATTTGAATTATACCAAACAGAGCGCATAACTGGGAAAGAATTTCCATTAGATAGGTTCCGCCTTTGTTACTGAATAGTGAATATACCTAGCTCAGCCAGACCTCTTTAACTTTGCTATTCTAGTCTTTTCATTTTGGTAATATTTCCGTCTTCCCTGCCCCACTAGGATTTATAGGAGAACACTGTAAGGATAGTGTGTTGAAAACAGTACAGTCAATGAGGATAGAGAGTATTTTTATATGCCAGGAATTTCAGTGGTGGATGTGGTCCAAGGGCAGAGACTCTCAGTTTCCACTGCTGCACCCCCACTCCCTGCAGTGGCGCTGGCACACACCGCACACTCAGTAAGTGCTGGTAACCCAGTAGTCCGTACCAAGTGCCTTATTCCACTTGTAAGGCAAGAAGCTTTTTTCTATCTCCGCTAGTGGTTTTGGTTTTGTTTGGCTTATCCCACCTGCCCACCCCCAAGTGAAAATTGGATTGTCTTTAATTTTGAAAAAGATAACAACCCATTTTAATAGGGATTTCTCTAAATTACCTGTCAGTTATGATTAGGGCTTGAAATGTCAAAAAAAAAATGCTTCAAATGCTTAAATGAGGAAGTTTATTTGGAGTTTCAGGATGAAATAGTGTATGAATGGAGTCCTTGCCTTTCATATCTGAGAATCCTTTTTTTCCCACCTTTTAATTTAACAGTTTGCCGATGGATTTCATGGTATAATATCTCTTTTTGAATCTTTCCTCTTCTTTTTTTCTGAAACAGTATTTTAACTCTTTTACTTCTGTTTTAGATCGTGACATTAAGTATAACTGATAGTTAAAATTAAAAATGGGTTTATGATTTGATTTTTCTGTTGGCTTATTTTAACATTCAGTGATTTTTTTTTGTGTGGTTAAATAATGTATTAGGGTAATAAATAGTATGATCAAAGACTGGATAAACTTACATAATTAGACGTACAATCCAATTGTTTTGTTTATATTTTCCAATAATCCCCCCTCCCCTTTTTAATTTTACAAACAAGCAATGTCTAGTATTTAATTGTTTATCAACAAACATTCCAAAGTTACCTTTAAACTTCAAGGAGAAAAGAGTTAAATGTGAAAATAAATTATAGCATGTTTTTAAAATTCATAGCAAAAATTTTGAGTTAGCCAGATTATGCACACTTATAAAGTAAATTTACTTTCATGTAATTCACTCAAAAATCCTGTCATGATGTAGATATTTTTTCATGTAGGATTACTAATCTTAATGGAACATAAGAAAGAAAAAGTGAATTGACTTTTTCTTGCCTTATAGTAGTCTGAACTTACAGAATACAAAAGTATTTATGTTTCATTTAATTTTAATCTAGGAACTAAAGATTTGCATAGTTTAAGGAATTTGCTAAGTATAACTAGTCTTAGATAGATGATCTTTACGAACCAGAAGAAATGATAAAACTAATTTCATGAAGTAATAATTAGATTATATAAGTAGAGGTGTTTTGTTGTACTTAATACAACTACATGTTGTCTGAGAACAGGCTGCTTAATAATTTATAGTTGAACAATTTCTGTATACTAGAAAATTAGAAAAGCTTTTAATGAAAGATACTAGAAAATTTTGCCAGTAAGCTATATTAAAATAAATTCTTCTTGGACTCTCACTGCAACAATTGTTACAGCTTTTGAATATACTGTATTCAGAAACCAAATCATCGATTTAAGTAACTTTGTTAATTTACAAAAATGGTAAATCTATTGAGAAGCCAAATAGAAATTTTGGCAAATCTCAGGAAAGTATTGAAAATCTACAGGGGTATACTCTCTCTTTTCCGTCATCTACTTCTGTTATAGCCTTTCCTCTCTCCTTCTTTCCTATCTTTTCCCTTCTATCTGCCTGTCTTCAGTTAATGTTTTTAAGCATATTGTCTTTCTGTGGTTGAGGAGATTAGATCACCTTTTCTTTTGGTTAACAGAAGAAAAGGTAGATGAACCCCCATCGAACAAGTACTTTTGATACTCCACAATCAGTATATTCAAATATTATAACCACTTTATGAAATGTTTGGTGCTTTTCCAAACACTCTAGTATTCATTATGTCATTTGATTTTTACACTAACCTATCTAAGTAGTTTGTGTAGATGGCATTATTTTCATTCCACAAATGAGGAAGTAGAAATGTAAAGGGGAAAGTGACCTGCCCAAGGTAATTGAGCCACTCTCCCAGGCTCCTGACTCCTGCTGACTCTTCTCTAGCAACTACTTCCTCATCTCACTCTTTCAGAAAGGGTTTTAACACATAAAACTTACCCAGACAATTTTACAGTGCGTTTCTTTAATGTCATGATTCCATGTTGCCTTCTAACTTTGATGAAATTGTTTTCCTCAATTTAAAGGTAACAAAATTTTTTGTAGGTGCCATTGTTATAGAACGACCAAATGTGAAGTGGAGTGATGTTGCTGGTCTCGAAGGAGCCAAAGAAGCACTTAAAGAGGCTGTGATTCTGCCTATTAAATTTCCTCACCTTTTTACAGGTGAGATGACTTTTAAGTAATTTTATTTGATGATACTTTAAAAGTACATTGATGACTGAGGTAAAGCATGGTGAATTCTTATCACCGTGTCATGAATTATCTTAAATAAATTGTGACTATTAACGGCAGTGATACATCTTTACACAAAGATGTTTTATTTCTTATACCTATCCATATTTGCAATAAATACATTTCAAGACAACCTAAATGTCAACCAGTAGGGTAATTCACCAAAATATAATGGAATGCTATGCACTTAATAACATATAGTGTATATCTATGTTAATAAATTTAAGTCTGCATTATAATTCATTGAAGAATGTCCATGTCTATTACAAAGATCAAAAAGCAAGTTATAAAATATGTATAGTATGATTCCACATTTGTTAGTAAGTGCGTGTGCCGAGAAGCAAGTATAGATGGATCGACTTAAAAATGTTAATGTGTGCCTAGGAGATAAGGTTATAGGTAATTTTTACGTTTTCTTTTGACTTTCATCTGAATTTTTTGCAATGGACATATATTAATTTTTAAAGAGTATTTCCATTTCTTAAAAAGAGTAAGAATTATTTAACACGTTCAGATAAAGTACATATCAAAGGAACTTTCTGCCCATGAAGGGCAGAAATCCTTTTGTCTGTGTGCACACATTGTGCTTTTACTACATGTTGGTTGAATGAATGAATGAGCAAGCAAATGAACTTCCTGTTAGAAGGCTTGTATTTATATATCCACACTTTTGACAAAATGGGCTGCAGAGAAAGCAAATAAAATATATTTAAGACATACCTTAGATTGATTTATTTTAAAAATATTATTATTTGATTGCTTTAGAGTTAAAATCTTTTCACAGTATTCTTTACTATGGATGATGTCTGTGGTAGCTGAAATTAACAGTTTTGAAATTCTCTTTGTTATTTTTCTAATGCAAATTTTAGGCAAGAGAACACCTTGGAGGGGAATCCTATTATTTGGGCCTCCTGGAACAGGAAAGTCCTATTTAGCCAAAGCTGTAGCAACAGAAGCAAACAACTCAACATTTTTTTCAATATCTTCCTCTGATCTTGTTTCAAAGTGGCTAGGTGAAAGTGAAAAGTAAGTGGTAAATCAATTTTAAATATTTTTGTCTTTGCCTTGTAGTCTGTAAAGTAATAGGTTTCTTACATCATTAATCGATATTCAGAGATCTGACATAATATAAATACTCATTTATCTGTCATAGCAGACCCTAATTTGGAATTTGTTTTGTGGAAAAAAGATGGTATACATGTGTAACTTAGTAAATTGTAAAGTGAATTATCCAATTGTCTTATCTTCTGTACCTGAAACATGATTAGGCTTTTTAATCTAGAGTTCTTGTAATATTGGTATATTGCTTTGTTTTAGTCTGTTAATATTTTTTAGAGACCAAAAGTTTTTCTTTATTTTTAGATTAGTTAAGAATTTATTCCAACTTGCCAGAGAGAACAAGCCCTCCATTATCTTCATTGATGAAATTGATTCTTTGTGTGGTTCAAGAAGTGAAAATGAAAGTGAAGCTGCACGTAGAATTAAGACAGAGTTCCTAGTTCAAATGCAAGGTAGTATTACTGATTTTTAAAATTGTTTCTTTTTATTGTATAACCATTATTTTATAACAATAATGGAAAAAAATTCAAGCAGAATTTCTCCACTCTAATAAACTAACAGTTTCATTATGCCATGTTTCGTTCTGATAGTTTCCATGTGTATACATAATTTTTACCCAGCTGTAATCACCTTGTAGGACTCACTTATACCAATAGTAAAGAGATTAATATTTCACTGTAACATGCCAGGAACAATATTAGTAAAAGTAACATGTAGACTTCAAATGAAACCTTTCAAGAAATATTTTGAAAAGAATATTAGGTTATTAAGTATGAAATGTCTAATTTATTCAAGTACTAAGTTTGACAGTTGATATCTCTGACATTTCACTTTGACACTTGTTTTATGTTTATTTTGAAGGTACATCCTCAGTCTTTCAAATGCACATTTTGGCTTGTGATTATTTCTTTCAAATATTTTTAGAGCAATTTTTGTGAAACCATGTATAAGTCAAAAAAATCATGTTATTTTCGAATATGAGTTCTGTTGTGGAACCAATGCAGTGCAGATAGCTCAAAATATCAATGAAGTGTTTGGGAAGGATATGGCTAATGAGCATAGTATGTTGATAGTTTGAGAAGTTCCATTCTCGTGATATTAATCTCGAAAATGAGCCATGTGGGTAACCTGAGACCGAGGTGGATAATGATTAGGTGAAAGTTGTAGTGGAAACGCATCCATCTAACCTACACGTAAATTACCAGCAAGGCTTGACATTACTATTCTGACAATATTGGACTATTGGAAACAAATCGGCAAGGTAAAGAAGCTGAATAGATAAGTACTGCATGAATTAAATGAGCATCAGAAGCGAAATCGTCTGGAAGCTTGCCTTTCTTTGCTGGCACGACATAAAGACGAATGAACCATTTCTATACTGTATTGTTACGTGTGATGAAAAATGGATTCTTTTTGACAATCACAAGCGTTCAGCACAATGGTTGGATAAAGAAGAAGTGCTAAAACACGGTCCCAAACCGAATATTCATCAAAAAAAAACTAATGGTGTCGTTCAGTGGGGCGCAGCACTGTTATTATCCATTGCAGCTTCATGAAACCTGGTCAGTCGATTACAGTGGATGTCTCCTGCAGCCAAGTGGATGAAATGATGAAGAATCTTGTGGTCAAGCAGCGGAGATTGGTCAATAGAGACAGCCCAATCCTCTTGCCAGATAATACTCAACCACATGTTGCACAAACAATGCCGCTCAAACTACAGAAGCTGGACTTGGAAACTCAGTTTCTCAACAAGCTGTGGAAAACACCTTTTGCAGTTTCATTGCCACTTGCTATCCAGGTTTCTTTGCTGCTGGCATAAACAAGCTACTGTTAAGATGGCAAAACTGTGTCAATAGTTTAGGTATATACTTTGATAAATTGTACTGCTGCTTGTTTGAGATATGATAAACTATACTTTGATTCAAAATCAGACATTTCATATTTAATGACCTAATAGTATTATCCACTATCTAGGAGATTTTATTCTTGGGAATATATTTGTATCATATTGCAATAATGTGATATTAATATTTAAGTAAATACAGTTTTTTTCAGAGAGATACTCTCAAGATGAGGCACTTTAATGTTAAAGCACCATATTTCTTTCTTTTTTTTTTTTTTGAGACAGAGTCTTGCTTTTGTTGCCCAGGCTAGAGTGAGTGCCGTGGCATCAGCCTAGCTCACAGCAACCTCAAACTCCTGGGCTCCAGCGATCCTCCTGCCTCAGCCTCCTGAGTAGCTGGGACTACAGGCATGCACCACCATGCCCGGCTAATTTTTTCTATATATTTTTTTTTTAGTTGTCCAATTAATTTCTTTCTATTTTTAGTAGAGACGGGATCTTGCTCTTGCTCAGGCTGGTCTCGAACTCCTGAGCTCAAACAATCTGCCCGCCTCGGCCTCCCAGAGTGCTAGGATTACAAGCGTGAGCCACCGCGCCCGGCCAAGCACCATATTTCTTAACAGAACAATGGGAAGAGGTTTAAAGAGCACCAAAATGACAAATTATTTAAAATATTGCCTATTTTAATGCAGGGGTTGGTGTGGACAATGATGGAATTTTGGTTCTGGGAGCCACAAATATACCCTGGGTTCTGGATTCTGCCATTAGGCGAAGGTATGATGATCCAGTAAATATCTTATTTCTAGCTGCAGATGTAACAAGGAAATGATAATTCCCATTTTGTGTAGCAAGGAGACATTCTGATAACTTTTCACAGTTTTAATGTGCCCTAACCTTGTTGCTTCCCTGCCTTGGGGGAAGAGAACTAGTCATTTGCTTGTTTGCTTGCCTGCTATACTGAAGATAAAAGATTTTCACATACTGTAGCCTTTCACACTGGAAAGTATATTACCTGATGCAGGCAGTTAGCTATGCTCCCAGCAAAAAATCGGGTCCCTTAGGCAGGGGTCGTCACAAAGGATAAAAAAAAATAGAAAATGGAAAATAATAGAAATAAAAGAATACACAGAGACGAAGTTACAGTTTTATAGATTTATAAAGATAAAGCAAAGCGGGGGTACTCAGGGGTCCCCACAATATCCCCGTCAATTGTGAGGCCCAGAATAAAGTTTCACGTGGGTATTTACAGGTACAGAGATTGGTTGCCAGGGGTAACAGATTTACATAATAGGTAGTTCATTTTAGGTTAAAAGGCTTCTATAGATCCCTTAATTAACTCTGGTTACAAAATCTTTCAAGGAAAAACTTCTAAGTTCTAAGATAAAGCTATCACTTAACAGAAGGGTTAAGCAGAGATATAGGGGCTCCATATTTCTTTATCTAGTTATCGCAAATAGAGACAGGTGATCAGAAGTCAAGCAGGAACTGTCCCTTGGGTTAACTGTTTTTAGCCGCAGGTGTTTGTCTCTCGGGTGGACATTCTTTGATCATCTTTCATCCCATGATTCCCTGCAGACCTTGCTTTGTCATTCAAAGCAGGTGAGAACCACGGGTTTGAGACTGCAGTGTCACCTTGGAAAGCAGCTGCTACTGACCTCTGAGATGTCCTCCCCAGGTGGAGCAGCTTTTGATACACAAACTAACACGTTCACATACTCCTTCAGGGCAAAGTCCTGCAAAACTCCTGAGATCATTTCTGTCTCTAATATAGTAATATTAATTTATGGAGCAACAACCTAATGCTTACCCTTAGTTCAAATTAAGCTCAGTGGGCACTGGTGCTTCAAAAATTTACAAATATAGTTTGATATTTCAGTAAAAATCCTTCATGTATAAAATTTTAGTAAAATGACCATTATACAAGTCAAAGTAAGATAACCAAGATATATTTTTAGTAAAAAAAAATTTATGTCTCTAATTTTTAAGTTGAATATGAAACCAGCTGTAGGAAAAGTATACAGACACTTCACTTTCCACTGTTTCACAATTCCCTACTGCATTCAATTTTACGTGGTAAAAATTAGCACTTCAGTTTTGCCACTTTTGTCACATTCACTTGATGGTTTGCCAGTATGCTAGATTACCTTCAGTACCAAGAAAGGAAATGTGCTGGGTATTTTTGAAAAATGGCCTAATTCCAAACCCATCTCCAGCGGTAATGGAAACTTTTTAAATTCTTCTCATTGCCACAGAGAGTTACCTGGAGGAGAAAAGTCTGCACAGACCACTTAAATTGTCCCTCATTGCTTTCTCCCTATCTCCAAATACTGAAATGCTAAGAAGGCAAGCAAAATTATTATTGATAAAACATAATGTTATAATATAGGATTATTTGTTCTGAATATACTTACTATAATAGTGGACATTTTGTATAATATGTATTTAATTATATAAGATTTTGAGTAATTTTACTGTTTTGAATTTAGAGAATTGTGTCATTTCTACTCCTATTTTAAATTGTTAATCATTAACCCCTTGATCAAGAGTTCAGAGTACAATTTTATGAGAAACTGTAATCCTGTAGGACATGTATTTTTATGTCATGAATTGTAGACATACAAATACTATGGCCAAAATAACCCAAAAATCATGTGAGGAAGACTAAACCATTCAAGCTGGTTCCCTGGCTATTTTTTATTTTATTTATTTGTTTTTAATGTGTTCTGGGCATTCTCCCTTTATCTAACCTAAATGTATATGTTTAACTTGGCCCATATGGGCACATTTAATTTACTCGACTCAACTTGTTATAATTGAGAGTATCTAAATATCTGTTTCTTCTTGAATATAACCTAGTTTTCAATTAAAATTAAGTATAATATCTTTGATATACTGTATCTTTTATTTTAAGATTTGAGAAACGAATTTATATTCCTTTGCCTGAAGCCCATGCCCGAGCAGCAATGTTTAAACTGCACTTGGGGACCACTCAGAACAGTCTAACAGAAACAGACTTCCGAGACCTTGGGAGGAAAACTGATGGTTATTCAGGGGCAGATATAAGTATCATTGTACGGGATGCACTTATGCAGCCTGTTAGAAAAGTACAGTCAGCTACTCATTTTAAAAAGGTAAGTCACTTTTATCTGTCCATTCATATGTTTTGTCTTGAAAGAATTTGGAAGAGTTTCAGTGTTGTATAATAGGTACAATAGGTAGGTTTACATAATAGACATATTTCTATTTCATTGAAATAAGTTCTCCAGTCAAGTTTGTTAGTAGCCATTACTAATAGTCCTAACATGTTTTAAATTTTTCAATGGCTTTGGATCACCAACTATAGTAGACTGCTCTATGGCTCCATCCTTTACTTTACTGTTTTTAAGACTAATTATTTCAATTAGTAAGAACAGGTTTGCCTGTTTATTTTTTTTATTTATCAAATGTCTAACATATTAATCTGGGCCCAGAGGAAGATCAGAAAGTAGAGCAGTCAAAAAAGACAAAAATCTCTGACCTCGTGCAGCTGAAATTTTTGTGAGGAAAGACAGACAATAAAATATATATAATAAGTAAAGTGAGAATGTGTATTTCTCCATACCTACACCAACCCTGAGATAATATTTAAAGTTGATCATTCTAAAACAGATAGGAAATAGCCCCCAATAAGATACAAGTTTATTGCCATCTAAATACTTGTATGTGACTTTATGTCACAAAAGTTCTTTTTCTGGATATTCTTAAAACTTGTTAAATAAGTTATATATCATAAAATGACCCTGCAGTTACATTTAGCATTTAATTTTGTACATACATTTGAAAGAATTTTTGTTGAAAGACAAAGATTCAGTAATTTGAGACTGAAGGTGCCAAATATTACAGAATTTTCTTAGCTGTGGACAATAAAGCAACTTAGAAGAATTTTTTATCAGGTTTATTTTTGGTCTCTAAGATTACTACCACTTATTAAGCAGTAGTGGAAAAAAGGGAAAGGTTAGCCACAGGTAACTTTTTTTTTTTTTTTAAACTCATTTTCCCCATTATAATTTATTGTAGGAAATTTCAAAATATAAAAAAGCATCGAGAAAGAAACTTAAAACCAACCAAAGTCTATTGCATTACCCAGAGAAAACTACTCTTTGTTGTATTTTCTTAATTTTTTTTCAGAAGTAAACATTTAAACAAAATATACAAAAATATTAATACATTTTCAACTTTCCTGATAATGGCCTTAATGTTTATTTAATTTGTTCAAATAAATATTTCAGATTGCTATTTATTCCAGGTTCGTGGACCTTCCCGAGCTGATCCTAACAACCTCGTAGATGACCTGCTAACACCCTGCTCTCCAGGTGACCCTGGTGCCATTGAAATGACCTGGATGGATGTCCCTGGGGATAAACTTTTGGAGCCAGTTGTTTGCATGGTTTGAAATTTTGTTTGTTTTTAAGAAAAATTTTAAAATATTATACTTTGTAATTTGCCAAAGATAAAATTTTCCATTTCTGGGAACTGTTGGTATGAACAGGCATGTTTATTTAATACTACTGACCAAAAGATTGCTGGACACAGTTGTTCACACCTGTAATCCTAGTATTTTGGGAGGCCGAGATGGGAGGAACAACACTTGAGCCTAGGAATTTGAGTTTGCAGTGAGCTATGATGACAATACTATACTTCAGCCCAGGCAACAGAGACCTTGTCAATCAATCAATCAATAAAAAATATATATATACTTTTTTACAGACAGGGTCTCATTCTGTCACCCAGGCTGGAGTACAGTGGCAGGATCATAGCTCACTGTACCTCCAACTCCTCCCACCTCAGCCTTCTGAGTAGCTGGGACTACAGGGGCATGTCACCATACTCAACTAATTCTTTTACATTTTTTGTAGAGATGGGGTCTCAAACTCCTGGCCTCAAGTGATCCTCCCACTTTGGCCTCCTAAAGTGTGGGGATTACAGGCATGTACACCATGCCCAGCCAAAAATTATTTTTAAAACATTTTCTTGGGCTTTGACAAAACTTTAAGTGAAAAGCCTATTTTTTAAAAACATAGATTTCTGACTTTATAGGTGTCATAGCTAGAATATTATTTTCAAAACGCTCATATATATTGCATAAATTACTGTTGAGACTTAACTAAAAACAGAATTGGTGAAAATTTTTTTCCCTAAATCTCAGATTTTTAAAAATAACCAGAAATGCTAATGCTTGTATCACTGCATTCAGAAATGGTGTTTTTCTGTTTTATTTTTCTAGGCTCCATAGAAAGTTTAAATAATACAGTTCTTAAAAATTTTAACAATTTAAACAACTTTTATTACAAAAAAAATGTTTTTATGGTTTCTGTTGGAGGAATTAAAATGATTTACAGGACTTTGTTTTGTAAGGTATATTATTTTTAGGAAACTTAGGGTGATTGTAAAGTTATATTATGTTTTTAAGCTTTTGTTCTCTGTCCAGCTTTGAAGAATTTACACTAACTTAAGAGTGGTCCTTTTTATTATTTTCCTTACTGTTTTACAGGAGACATAGCCTAAAAGTTAGTTTTTTAATGAACCTCTGATATTAGCATATTTTCTTACCATTTCGATCTTATATTTTTAAATTCTGGTTAGTTGATTTTGACAAAATGGTATTCTGCTTCACTTAAGTGTAAGTGAACATCCACATTCATTCTGAATTGTATTTACTTGGAAAACTGATCTTTTGTTTAAGAAAAACAGATGACGCCAGAAATTAGATCATGAACATACTTTGGAGGGCCTTGGTCCTCAGGCTAAGAGGATTGTCAGTTCAGGGGAAGATATTGGAAGTTTCTACACAAAGGAATAACAACATGTCAAAGATACCTTTTAGAAAGAATAAGAGAGTTTATTGTCAGTATCTTATGGCACACTGCAGATTTAGGTTAAAGTTAGTAAAAATGATAGTGTGATGATTTTGTGTTTTCTTAAATCTGATTTATATACCCCTCCCTCCTCCTTTTCTCTGACAGTCGGATATGTTGCGGTCACTCTCTAGCACAAAACCCACAGTCAATGAACACGACTTGTTGAAATTAAAGAAGTTTACAGAAGATTTTGGTCAAGAAGGCTAAACCAAAGATGAGGAAGATGTTTACCATGTGTATTGTTTCTTTCATAGATATTTTTCTTGAATAGCATTCAGATTATTTCCAGTAAAACTCTTTTACCACGGGGAAATACACATCTTACTTCAGAGTTCCTTTAAGTTTGATTTTGTACTTTTTCTCCATTACCTATCAAATGCTCCTATTAATGAAAAGTATAAGATAATGAGTTACAAAGAAATGAGCAATATATGAATGGCAAAAAAAGAAATTACCCAGTAAGAAGAATATTAGAAATTGATTGACATATAAATATTTAAAATTTTTATGAATGGTGGTCTTTGCAAAGAGCATTTACATTTCTTTTGGACTAAAATGAAACAGGGCTTATTTTATATTTTGAAAAAAATTCTTAAATATCATTCTTATCAATGTAAAATTTATTTACTTTATTAAAAATAAAAACTATAGAAGCTTTACTCTCAGGGATGGGCAATAAAAAGCAAAGAGCACTGTGATTGGGTTTGAAAGATTTTGAATTGAGTGATAGCCGGTGCTCTTATTGGTTTTTAATAGGTTGATTTTTTTCCTGTGTAGATTTAAATAATTTCTGTAAAAGCAGCAAGCTTTTATATTTAATTAAATACCTTTCACTGTGCAATCTCAAGAGAAACTTTCTAAATTAGGAATTGTCTTTACCTTGAAGAAGAAAATTGTCTATTTCAGTGTCTTTTTGTAGCAAGATTGACCAAAACAGGTGGTAAATAAGTATGTAATTTTTAAATAACTGTCATGAATACTGTAATGGGAACCTTTGCTCATAAGGTAATGGCCTCCCTTTGGATTATGGGAACTTTCCGTGTGTGATGTTGGCGTATGTATGTACATATATATATAAATTTCTTTTTTTAATGTAAGGTAGCAGTATAGGGTCTTGTCTTTCACCTTTTAAGTTCAGGGAACAGTTTGTCCTGGCCACCCATATGTATTAGTATAATGCTTACAAAGCTTTAGAAATGAGCTGATGACTCATTAATAAAATACAAACATGATATTATTTTAATATCTTCAAATAATCTGAGGATGTGTGTTATATACTTTAGCATCAACACTAAGTTGTGCCTTGTACATTTGCATTGGCTCTAGATGCAAAAGATTACTAAGTTGGCTAGAATGAGGTAGATTCCTTAATTACTGTGAAGTTCTACCTTGCAAATGCTATAGAATAACTTGCATTTTTAAAGTATATTTGCACATTTTACATATTATGCTATATGGTTGCCTTTGGGTTTTCTGTACAGATTGTTTTTGTTAATATTAAATGGAAATCATAGGCCCGAAATATGCTGTTCTTATGTGAAGTAAATTGATATAACCTACTATTGGCTATATTCTGTGTATGCTTCTTTATTTGGGGACCTTCTGTGCAGAAGAAAATATTATCTAAATTGATTAGATATAAAGACATAATTAAAAATTATTAAGAATATATACATGAAAATTCTGTTTTTCAACAACTTTTATGTGAGGGTTGGGAATTAATTTGACAAAGCAACATTGAATTCTTTCCGGATAAGATAATTAATATACCTTATTTATCAGCCTCAGTGTCATATAGTACTGCTATTAATTATATAATTAGGGGAATTAATATAATTATATTATTATACATAATATAGTTGAAATCTAGAATTTTTTGTGAATCAAAAAGTTGATGACGTATTCTACTTAAATTGATCAAATACATGACCAAGTAATATGTAAGCATAGTATTGATGATAAGAGGATACTTTATGACGCTTCATTCTTACATGTGCTTTTAAGAGCTGTATGTGTCTTACTATCCGTATCACTTCTAGCCTTAGCTCCATTTTCTAAATTTCTGGGTCTAAAGCTAATTATAGAATCTAATAACTTTAGACTCATTCTACAATAGTAGAGCATGCTTAATAGGCCATATCCATGAGTTCTTTATGAACAGATACTCAAAGGAACCTGAATGGGTACACTCTGATTCTCTGGCTCTTGATCTTTATGAAGTTTTGGGTAGACATTTTCTGAGCCAACAGAAAATTGTTGTTGACCATCTCTATGAGCTGCACCCTGGATGTTTAAGCCTGATAAATGTATAGGTGGGACTCTAATTATAAGGCATGTCAATAGTGAATTGATGTCTGAGTTCACTGTCAACGACATGAAGAAGAACACAATGAGTGAATTTGATTATTAATGCTATGGAAGCTCCATTTAGCCACGTTGATCATTAAGAAATGGAAGGATATCTACCTAACATTGGTGCAGCAGGTTGCAAATGAAGCCACGCAGGGTGCATGGTGTTGACACTGGTGTTACCTCAAGTTTGTGAACTCTCACAGGTGCCATGTTCTTTTCTACCTCCATTCCTTCATTTATATCAGTCTCTAATATAGTATCCTTTTCTCTGCTAGTCCAAATCACATACTTCCATTAAAACCTAGCTGATGAACCATGTAATCTTTTCTAGGAAGAATCCCTGACCTATCCTCATCCCATCTTTGGATTTCTTTAGCCCTAAGTTGCTACTACTATCTAAAGATTTTTCTCTGTTTCAAGCATGTTCTATTCATCTTGTTTAGATCATTTAGATTGTAAGTTCTGAGAATTCAATTTTTCCTACCAATTAACATAGTACTGGACACTACTTATTAGATACTTAGTAAAGCCTTGAAAAAAATAAAGGAATTATGCTTTTATTTTGATTTACCTGATGGATTATCTGTGAGACTTTTTGTAAAATAGTTAATTTTATAAGGTGGCTTTGTTCTTACTGGTCTAGTGAAGTTGTGATATGTTTCTCTCTTGGTTATTGGGGACTTCAAAATTAGAGATATGCTAGAGCCAAGTTGCACTGTCTCACAAAAACCAATTGTGCCAAGGCAGGAGGATCGCTTGAGGCCAGGAGTTTGAGACCAGGCTGGGCAACATAGTAAGAACCCCCTCTAAATCTGGTTGACATAAAAATGGATGCTTATTTTTTCCTTATATTTTTATCTTTAAATATTTTTAATTTCCCAAAATTAAGAAAGTTTTTTTAAAGAAGAATTACAGTCAGATTGACAGCAAATCACAAGAATTAAAGTCTCCTCCTCTGGAATTCTGTAAAATAACAGAAAAAGTTTTAAAAAGAGAAAACTAGGATAGCAAAGATAGTCATCAAACAAATACACTCTGAAGAATATTTCATCCAGACTGCCTTCCTAGTTTTGGCAATGTCCCTGGCCTCCCACTGCAGGAACCAAAGTGGAAAGATCCTATTTTTCTTGATCACTTGGCAGCCAGTCCATGGGCCCTTGACTTCACCTTGGCATATCAGGTGCTGTCACCCAGGTCCTTCAAGAGGATCATTAAAAATAGGATTGTAGCCGCATCCACAGGATCTAGCTGGATGGGAATCTGGTAGCTCGTGGTGAAAGAGCTAATTACATTATTGCCTATGGTCACATGGAAGGAAGTGCCCAGCGAGGACCAGACATTGGGGAGCCACTTTGTAGCTGCTGGAGTGCAAAACAAAGAGCATGAGAATGGCTGATTGAGGTCAAAGCAGAGATGGAAACCCAAGGATCTTCTTTCTATGACTATGCTAAAATAGACATTTCCTACAACCACAGTGGCTAACTAATCAAAAGCCAAACTCAGCATTCGATCCTGCAGGTTGCCAAATTGTATCAGTTGAATTCACAGATTCACCAAGTTTGTATGTGAAAGTAACAGGAGGAAAAGAGTAGGCTTCATGGGATTGAAATGTGTATATTTGCAAGAATTTGGAGAATTCTGAATATCAGCAAATATCTGGGACTTGTACAACAATGGGTTATGTTGATCAAGAAAAAGGAGAATCGTTTCATATGTGATTGAATTTATCAATATGGGTTCAATCAAGAGATTCTGCATTCAGTATTTTGGTTCGAGCTGCTGAGAGTAATTCTGTTTGGTTGAAGAAATTGAACTCAACAGTGGATCCTCTTTGAACTCCAATAACTTAATGGAAAAGAAAGAACCCAGCATCAGTAGAAAATATAAATGCAATACTGGATTTATTACGTAAGAATCATCTTCAAAGCCACAGTGTTCCTAGAAAAGATCCAGAATCCAATCCCTTAGCCAAGGCCTTGACAAGTGGAAGGAACACTTTCTAATGTGCTTTACTGGCTTTTCATTTCATAAGGGCTGGAAAGATCCAGCGGTTGCAAAAGCCAAGTAGTGGCAATTGGCCAGCACATGCTTAATGCACTTGGGCGCCACATTAGGCTGCAGGGCTAGCGTGGTCATCAGAATAGTCTTTCCCACAGAGATCTTAAGCAATAATTCATTGGCGATGAGGTCCCTAGGACAAAAACAAATGACTGCTCAGCTCACTAAGGTGCTACTTCCTTAGCATAAACCAAAAAAACTCCCAAGTCTGGTGAACAGCCCAGAACCATCATGACAGGCAGAGCATGAAGCACAGCACAGACTCGGTACCACCTGATGATGTAACTCAGCGGTTCCCTCCCCTCAAACCCTCCTCAACGCTGATTCCACTCCCCAGGGGTAATCATTTTCAGTCTTTTTAGGTTTGGTTCTTGTGAAAGATTTTATTTTCCGAAAGTGGCCACAACAATATCTTCCCACTCAAATGCTCTTCTTACAATGTCCCTTCGACATTCCTCCCAGTGATAGGTGGGATCTATGTCCTCTCCTCTTGAAATTGGGTGGGCTTTTGTGAATATTTTAGACCAACAGAATATGGCAGAAGTGACACTATGACTTCCTAGGCTGGGTCACTAAAGGTGATACAGCCTCCACTTCGCTCCCTGGAATACTTGCTCTGGAAGTGTTGGTCTCCAGTCTCCTGTCAGCAGTCTGAGTGCCTTGAGGCTGCTGTGCTGTGTAGAGGCCCAAACTAGCCCAGGCAGAGAAACCACGTGGAGAGAGCTGTCCCTAGATACTTCAGCCCTCTGCTACACCAGCCCCAGACACTGGGTGCAACTGTGCAAAGGACTCCTAGCTAGAACTGCCCAACCAAGCTCTTCCTGAATTCCTGACCCACAGGATCTGAAAGAGAAAGTAATTGCAGTTTTAAGCCATTAAGTTCAGCGATGACTTGCCATGCAAAAATTCCAAACAAACTGTGTTAGTCTGAGTGGGCAAGGGGAACTTGTATTAGATTTGTAATACTGCTCTAACAAATTACTACAAAGTTAATGGCTTAAACCAACACAGATTTATTACCTTGCAGTTCTGTAGGTCAGAAGTCCGATACGAGTCTCACTGGGCTAAAATCAGATGTCAGCAGAGCTGCATTCCTTTCTGGAGGCTCTAGGCGATAGTTTCCTTGTTCATTCAGGTTGTGGGCAGAATTCAATCCCTTGCAGTTGCAGGACTGAGGTCCCACGTCCTTGCGGGCTGTCAGCTGAAGGCTGTT